AAAAACAAAAATATTCCTACATTTTAATCACTTCATAAAATTGAAAACGAAGTGGTTTGGCTCACCTTTTGGTTTCCAGTTGTGTATCTTGTCTGTAAATATTTATAGACAATTGCTAAACAAAATTGCCTGAGTAGGACGGTGGCATGTGCCTAGCAGCGCTTATCTCCACACAGTCCGCATCTGTTTGTTTGGCTCTGCTTGGTTTAAACGGAAGGACCAGTCTTTGATTATAAAAATATCCTTCCTTTCATTAGGAGAACTCAGACTGACTACGTCACATGTTACTTAAAAGCTTTATTGTGACTCTCACCCTAAAGTGTAGCATTTATATCGTGGTGGTGGTGGGTGTGTGCCGTGGAGTCAGTTCCAACTCACAGTGACCCTGCACAGGGTTTCCGAGGCTATAAATCCTTATGAGAGCAGAAACCTCATCTTTCTCTGAGGAATGGCTGGTAGTTTTGAACTACTGACCTTGAGGTTAACAACCCAACTTGTAACCACTACGCCACCAGAGGTCCTCAGCATGTATATAAGCTCCAGAAACGTACTTCAGAGCTGGGGACCTCAGAATGACATGGTTCACCATTCATTGCCTTTTCACAGCTGAGATGTTACCTCAGATCACTCCACTCTGAAATCACCATCCCTATCCTTTTCTGGGTTTTGTTTTGCTGGATTGTTTATCTTTTTCTTATTGACTTCTAGGAGTCTTGATTTGTTTTGTTTTGCTAAGCACCCTTTATCTGTTGTATCTTCTCCCTGTCTGTGGCTGGTTTTTTAGCTTCCTTTCTGTAATGTCTTTTATGTTTTTAATATTAACATAGTCAAATCTGTCAGCTTTTACAGCTTCTGGATTTTGTCTTCTCTCAGAAGCTATAGGGAGTCCTACTGGGGATAATCTCTGCTTGGTTATCTTGGTCTTCATTTGTGTTCACTGATGACTGGCTTATCTTGTCTCTAAATTCACTTTACAGGCCATCAGTTTTATAATCTATGCAAAACCAAAGGGAAGGAGGGTCCTCATAAACCAGGGCTGCATGGCAACCCCAGTATCTGACCAAAAAACAAATTATTTTATGGTCATTTCAAGACACCTCCAGTTTTCTGTTATCTAGCTTCATGTTTTCTTTGTAGTTTTCACCTGAAATTACCTACTTTGGAGTCACCTACATCATAGTTTAAAATTCGTTGATGTTGTTAGGTGCCGTCAAGTCAGTTCCCACTCGTAGTGACTTTATGCACAACAGAACGAAACACTGCCCGATCCGTCGTTCGTCGTCATCCAATCAGTGTTAAGCTTCAGTCGACTGCTGCTGCTGCTACTGTAACAATCCATCTCATTGGCAGTCGGCCTCTTTCTCACTGACCCTCCACACAGTCAAAAGCCTTTGCATAGTCAATAAAGCACAGGTGAACATCTTTTTTGTAGTCTCTGCTTTCAGACAAAATCCATCTGACATCAGCAGTAATATATCTCATTCTACTTCCTTGTCTCAATCCAACTGGAACTCTCACAGTTCCCTGTCAATGTACTTTTTTTTTTTT